TATATATACATATATAAATATATATATGTATACATATATATATATATATATATATATACTGTATACATACAGTATAGTATGAATTCTACCGAATTGTTGACATTAATCAATTTAAAGTTTGTATTTTTAATTTTCCCTACTAGAATTTTTTGGAAATCGGTAATAGAATTATAACCTAAATTCATCATGAAAATTTAATATGAAGCTGTTGTTATCCAAATTCATCATACAGATAGGCTTTATTCTGATTTTTCACAAATCATCTTCAGTGCAGGTTTGGTCTATATCGTTTCTTTGCTTTGTTTAATAAAATAAAAACAAATCTTGCAGCCTTATTTATGTCATAAAAGATTGGACGGTTTTTAATATTGAATAATTAAATACATCCCGTAGAATATATTTGTATTACATGAAGATACGTTCTCATATTTTTTCATGGCACAAAAACAAATTATAAAATGTTTTTATTGCAACGTGCATGCCAGTTTAAAGGACAGAGCAGATAAGACCTTGAAGTGCTTGCAAGTGCTACCCGTTATATTTTCAATGCATTCATTTGGTGTAAGCTCTGTTTCACATTTAATTTTGATATATAACTCATTGTCAAAAATTTTTTAAATGTGGCTTTAATGTGTTTAAAGAAGATATGTTTTCACATTTGTTGTTTTGGCACTCTATGCTATGAAGTTAAAAAAAGTTACATTCGCCGATTTAAAAAAAAAATCTCTAAAAATGTTTCTTGCTAGTCCACAGCCCTGAGATATGTCAATACATCTTAGCAGACATAAGCCCACATTATCTAACAGTTTTTTCATATTAACTTTGCTGCATATGAACAATGTCAAAGGTTTTTTGTAATAGTAATTAAACGCTGCTAAATTTATTAGACATTTATTAAGCAGATTATATTTAACTTCTATAATAGCGTCAGTTGTTTACAGGATTCATATCATGTCACAATAAAAATAAGTTTATTTGAAATACGCGCTGACTTAATGCTAGTTTATAAAAATTCAAAAACATCACGTTATCAGATAATGAAACATTTCGTTTGTTCCTCTAACCAAAGCTCCCAAGATGAAGAAGACCATGAATAACCGACCGATTGTCGTTTGGCATTTAACGTCGCCGTAGCCAACAGTTGACATGGTCACCAACGTGAAATACACGCACTCCCAATACGTCAGATTCTGACCATTGCTGAAATCTGCAAACGGATCTCCAGAATTTTCCACCTTTTGTTATATTGAATAAGGATACTGTGAGTAAATTTGAAATTTTGCGTTTCTTTGCCTGAATAAGTTTAAATTTCAGGTTATGATTTTGATAAGTTACAAAACTTGATAGACGAAGCTAAATCATCAGTACCGGATTCAAAAATTGTCATTGGGTGGAGGAATATTTTCCCTCTATTGTACACTTATCTTATTTTCAACAAAAACTAAACACTGGCAAACGTAGAGATTGGTGCAACAAGTGAAACATAACAAAAATATGAATGCAACAATTGAATAATTAAAACAGAAAATGAGTCAAAAAATAAACTACAAAAATTTATGTTTGAAGACTATAAAATACATGCGAGAATTCAAAATGATTTTGGAATAAAAATAATAAATAAAAAAAACCGGAATTTAATAATAAATTTTCAAGTTAATTAAACAATAACAGAATACACAATAAATATAATTATGAAATAACTAGAAAAGATAAAAAAACTGATTGCATTGTTGTGTTGGTAGAAATTGCATGATGTAGTCAAAACATTGTTCACTAACCAAATGAACAAACCCTGCCCCTGTAAACCATACGCTGATGAGAGTAGAAACCAGCTGACAGAGGCGTATGCTGTTGGAAGTCTTGAGTATGTTGAGGTACTGCAAAACATCTGGAATGGTCATGAGACGAAGAGCCCTTGTGAACCGAAGACCTGCAAAATTGCAAAAGATGATTTTAGAAAATTTATAACAGCCGACTTGTTTTATTTATTCTACTGTTAAACAATTTTTTAATGCATTTTTATACAACGAACTGATGCATTTTAAGCACTCTTGCTCGCTTTTGCCAATATTTCCAATCTCAGTTTATCCAACTCTCGGTAATTTGCCATTCAACTTCCGAGACATTGAATTCAAATTTAAGACGTTGATTTAAACTTTTCAGTCATTAACATTCAAATTTCCCGACAACCAATTCAACTTCAGACGTTGATCCCAACTTCTCAGACAATAAAATTCATCTTTTCAGACATAGACGTTCAACTTTTCAGACATTAACAATCAACTTTTCAGTCAGTGACTTTCAACTTCCACGCATTGACAATCAACTTTTCAGACATTGACATCTGATATTCAGAACCTCACCTAGCCAGTTTCTGTTAAGGTAGATAGCAACAAATGACGGTGGAATGGTGAAGTAGTCGACCAATGAAAAAATCTCGACAAGGAAAAATAATTTTTCTGAGGCAGCTATGAACTGAAAAACCAAAATTAAAAATAATTTTTTTAGTAAAGTAATCTGATGTTTTATTGATGAAATCACATTAAAGAATCAGTAACAAACATCAATTTTTCGTAATAATCAATATTTCTCCAAGCAAGTACTCAAATATTGGCAGCGATACCAAGTATTATCATCTGCTGGCATTAAGAATACCATAAAATACGAACTTACTAACGTTATGTAATTTTTTGCATGAAATATGATGCTACTTTTATTGCATGTAAATGAAATTTGATTTTGGATTAGGTAGGCTAAAACAAAATGCATGCTAAAACTTTAATTTTTTTCGATCTTCTTATTACGATATTTTTCAGGTTTAAAACTTTCAATATAAAAATTGAACGTGTTAGAAGATTAGTCATTTAAAAAAACGCTGTGAAAAATGTAGAAACCAATTTTTCATTGAATGAACATGTTCATACAAACCCACCCTGATAAAAAAGTAAATCATAAAAAAAACATTGAAGGCCAGATCGAGTTGTTGGGTTGGACTCTCTGACCACTGATCACAAGATTCAACTGTCTCCCTGTTTAATATTCATCAAATGTCAATTCAATACATACAAATTTTTATGAATAGAAATCATTAAATACGTTAAAACTATGCAGTAAGAGATATATTCCGACAAGGTTCACTTGACAAATTTTAAAAAACAAATCTCTCATTTTAAAATATTTCATATTTATTTTGAAAATTTGCAATTTCCCAGACACCTTACTCACTGAGAAGTCGTTGGAAGAAAATTCAAAGAACAGTCAAATATTCAACATGTCTTCATTGGCTCAAATTATTTTACATAAATAAATAACTTTTTTTTTATGGAAAATGATTCATTTTTGTTAACTCTACAGATTTATATTAATAACCAATCTACCAAATAAATGCAATGCAATAAGTTTTATACCACCGGCGTTGAAAATTAGAATTAATTATTAAAGGAATGAAACTCACGTTGACGAATCGATGAAGTAGATCACAAGAGATGCGATACTCAACACAAACACGAGGACAACCTGCAAAAAATTTGCCATATTATATTAATTAATTAAAATAATTATTAATTTATTGAAATATAAATTAATTCATTAAATAAATATTAATTACTTAATTAAAAACACTAATATTATCAGTGGCGGATTTTAGGTGAGCAGTGTTTTTATCAAAATTCAGTACAACTCAGTTTTTAGACAAAAAAGGAAAAGAGCGTTTTGAAATACAAAATGGACCGAAAAATTGGCGTGATAAGCATAAAAGTGACCGCACTGGTGAAAATTTTTCGGCCCCCTATGAAATTTCAAAATGTTGGTCCTCCCGGCCAGGTTTTCCAGTACCACCGCATGATAATAATATATAATTGAATGACGTAAATATGCTTGAGGGCTGCAGATATGATTCAATATTTTTTGTTTTTTTATAGAAATTTAGAAATATTATTAAAGGGTACTTTCATCAAAATCGAGATATACAGATGTATCATTAAAGCAGAAACAAATGTTAGCATGCAGTATAATTTCTTTTTTGGGATTATTTTTCAGTTTTAAAACCAGATGGCAACGAATTGATTAATTTTTTCTAAAATCTAAATGACAGGTGAACATTTTCATCAACTGTTATTTTCCTATTCTTATATTCTTATAAAATTTGTTAGCCAGCATCATCATCGTCATCTTTAACATCGCAAATATCGCTATAACATGATCACTACCATTATGTATTGTAATCAATATCACCGCCTCTATCACCATTCTCATCTTCATTATCGCTATCATCATCTTTTTCATCATCATCATCTTTATTATCATCATTGTATTTTTAGTTTGATTCTATTGTCTGTCAGCCCAGAATGTAATAAATCAAAGCATATGACACACAGGACAAATATGTCTGTCAGTCGTTCAAACTGTCATGTTCATATCATTAATATTGCTACAAAGATGTTGCATTGAATAAATCTGACATAAAATATCAGAACGTTACAAAAGTGTTAGATTGCGCAATGCACCTTACACTAAATTTGCGGCAACAGAGAAAGAAGGGAGTAATGATTGATAACGTAGAATGATGATTGTTGTCACTGGCTGGCTTACTGGACGATCTTCTATTTTGGTTCTTTTCTAATTTTCTTTCAACTTTGTAAATCTTTGAAAATAAATGTACTTAATTTTTTGAGTTTAAAATTACTTCAAGATGTTAAAAGTTGCTATCAAAGGTTCTCAGCAGTTTCATCTTTGTTTGAGGAAAAATTACATCACCGTTATGGTTCACTGAATGCTGGCACCAATAACAAAAATGATGAAGAAGATGAGGATAGTGAGAATAATACTATCATTACAATTAGTACTGTTCTATTCATTATGATTGTCATTATTAACAGTATTTATTGCATTGTACAGACTGATGACCCACTCAGCAACGCTGAACCATTAAAAGAAGCATTGGAACTGTGCATGGCAGCCAGATAAATTGATCATGCACGCCAGAAACGCCACTACAATATAAAAGTGTATGTGGTGTGTGCGTGCGTGTGTGTGTATGTGGTTTGTGTGTGCGTGTGTGCGTGTGTGTGTGTGTGTGTGTGTGTGGTGTGTGCGTATGACATCGATGGGACGATGAGCACACTCCATCCTGTCAGAGCAACTCAAAAGCAAAAAATATTTCTCCTGTATGGTGTAAAGTACCGATAAATTATTGTATTCCACAACTGCTCACAAATGCAAATTTATTTAGATTGGATGGTGACGACCCATTTATATTCATTCTGAGAGAGAGGGAGAGCTAATCAATAAACATGTGTTACTAAGTTATAATCCTGTTTACTGCACTGGCTCAATATGCAAAAGTCACAAAGGAATCCCTTCGCCGATCATCAATTGCTTAACTTGACATTTATTTTGTGCCTGCATGAAATTCAAACTCGTCCCACAACACAAAAACTTGTTGTTCAACTCATGAGATGCATCACGATACCACTTAATATAGCAACTTAAACTGCTTCACGAACAAATTTTGTTCTCTTAAATCATTTAAAATTAAAAAGTAGACGTACAGAACCTTGGAAGGTAACGCTGATGAATACGTTTCTCGATTTTAACCGATAGTTATTTAATTCAAAATTTTACCATCAAGAGTTTATGGTAGGGTAGTACAATTTTTTCAAACTAATAATTATATAATTTTTTTTAATGTCTCCTGAAAATTCTTGGCCTAATTCTTTCATTAACAACTCAACTATTTTTGAACTATCACCATCGTCGTTATCCAAACAAAATATTCTGTCCATGGAAAAAAATTATGGCGGATCAGTAGCGGATCTAAATTTTTGCGGTGAATGGAATGCACCGCAGCCCCCCTCCCTAGATTCAGCACCGCATGGAACTGACTCGATTGCTTCTCTTTGCCTACCCACTCTCCCCCCAGTGCATCTGCCCCCCGCAAGGAAACAAAGTCACCCTAACAGCATTTGTGAAACTTAAGTGTGCGTGCCTGTCGTAACGTGCAATTGTAAGGTACGTGTGCGTGTATCTTATTGGTCGTCAATTTAAAATAAAATATTTCTATTTGATTTGGCAAACTATTTGGTAAATTTTATTTTTAACATTACAATTATTTAAACTTGCCAGAAGTTCTTTGTAACGTAAAAATGAGAGCCAATTAAAACATGCTTGAAAAGCCCGTGTAAACATCATTATTCCATTAACCTGTAACGTAGAAAAATCTTTTTTCGTCTAACCTCTCACTGAGATTAATGAGTTGTCTCTATGCTATTTATCATCTTAAACACCTTTACATTTTAAATAATTCAAAAATGTTGAATAACGCCAAAGATTTTTTAGAAAAGATTTCATATAATAAAGATGTACAGTGTTTTTTATAATTTGTTAAAGATCGCATTGCTCATCCATGCTTAAGACCCTTCTTAAATTCCTCACAGGTAATCTCATCGTTACTCACAAGTATAAACATTCATGCAAATGCAATCTTATTTTGTGTTCAAAAAATCAGTTTTATATATAAAAATATTATATAAACAATATGATCTAACTGGTGAGTTCGTTGGAGGAATGTTTGAAACACGTGCAAATTAGGTGGTTGCGTTATGTTGCGTCAAACACTTTTTTGAAATACATGGACGAAGGAAAGTCAGAAAAAGTTATTATAACAACATTTTAAGTAAGAATAAATTGATAAAGCAAACAAATGAACATACAAACAAACGTACGAACGATCGAACGAACGAACGAAAAACAAACAAATAGAACTTGTAACATACGCAATTGAAATGTTAAGAGTCCAAACTTTGTTTAAAACATTTGTATAATTGTAACAGGTTAAAATAGACCATTCTAAAGATCGATCCCAACTATGATGCACTCTGTGTCAATCTCATATTAGTTTACAAATATTATCAAGTGTCATGTTCTGCTCAGCGAGGTTCTCGGCGTTTCTGCTTTTTATAAAATAAAAATTTTCAAAGAAGATAACAGCTGAATTGGAAACATTTGTATAGAGGACAATTAAAATAAAATTGCTGCAATCATCTTCATTGGAGTAGTTCACTATCATCCTCACCATCATCATCATCGTCATCATCATCATTATCATCATCAGCATCATCCTCTTCATCTTCTTTATCATCATCATCTTCATCGTCATCATTCCTCATCATCTCCACCGTCACCACTCATAATCATCTTGTCATCATACGTAATCATCATTATCGAACTCCTAAAAATAGCAACATCTCGTACAGCTGTGCGGTTTCGCATTGTGCATCTTCGCCGGGCTCCAGCACGTCATCCACCTTCTTGCGTGCAAGCGTACGTACATGCTAATGTGTCTTCCTTGTGCACTTCTCTGCACACATCTCCATCTGTACGTACATTTCTACATGCTATCGTATATTTTAAATTGTACAGAATGTACACACATTTGCAGAAACGTGCACAAATATTCAACCTCATATAATGCCAGCCTTTTTACACGTCTACATTCATTTGTACAGCACACACGTTAAATCTTTGGGTTTGTTACATTTCGAAATACTGACTTGCAATGAACAATTTTTTGTCAAAAAATCGAGAAGGCTTATATTGATTTTAAACAAATTTCAATCTGCGTTTGGATGTTATTGATCTATGCCCATAAAGAACAAACACATGATAATTTACTGTCCAAATCGCAACATGGAAGTCAATAACTGGAAAATATTTGGTAACTCAAAAATAGCAGACAACCGTTTTAAAAATTTTTCTTCAAGTCATTTGCAGCTGGCACGAAAGATAGTGAACGAGCGCAGAAGTTGAAGAAGTGTTGAACGAATTGATAACTGCACCATTGCGGCCAAGTCCCAAAGGTCTTCTATCAACTAACTTCTACTGTTTACATGTTTAAAGATGAAGGAATGAATGAATGAACGAAAGAACGAACGAACAAATAAATAAACAAATGAATAAATAATACTTATATATGCTCTACATTTGTATATATTTATTAAGGTACATATGTATGTATTGAATTGAATCGAATTGAATTGGGAAAAAATGTTTGTTTATGTTGTTTTTTAATTTAAAGTTGGTCACTTTTTAATCAAAAAAAAAAAAAAAAAATTTCAACATGACATAACTGGATTGCATTCATCAGACTTTATTAACGTTTTTCACAGGATCACAGATTGTTAAAGTTATACACAGGGCAGTGCGAGAATATTCACGTATTAACAAAACCTAAGAAAGTATTATATAAACCTGGAAGTCATTTTCGTCATAATCAAAATATAACATGCGAGTAACAGTTGGTATCGTTGTGTCATGCCGTGTTAGCATGGTCACAGCGTGGTCATCAAAATGCTTCATTCATTTCTCTGACCGTTGTCATTTTGTAAGATAAGCAACGGCAATGCCTATAAATATCTGGCCAATGACCGTGATGTATTTTTTGCATGCAATTTTTTGTTTGCACATATCTTTTAAATTCACTGAAAATGTCTTTTAAATTTATTATTTTGAAATTACAATTTAAGATCCTTATCGCAAGATGATTCGCATGGTTAATATGTTTGCTAGCAAAGATGATAACAGTTGTGATAACGTTGATGTAAAAAAATGATGTTCCCAAGTATTCAATCATTCCGAAAGAAAAAACACAACTGACAAATAGGTTCGGTCAATAAATGTTCAAGTGCTATGTGATCTTTCAGACCAGGGCTTCCTAAACGTTTCTGCGCCCCGCCCCACAAATTTGGTTAAAAATGTTTATGCCTCCCGTTTTTCTAAAAAAAAAATTGGTGACTATTTTATTATTATTTGGTTATTTCATCAATCAATCGATCATCCATTTTTCTTATTTTTTCTATATTTTATGATTGTATAAAGTGTTTTCCTATTATTACACTGTGTTTTTACCAACTGTTTTTACTTCCACCATAACCGTTAAGCCCCACTGTCCCCTCTAGCATAAAATTGACCCCTTTTGGGACGTACGATTCATGTCAGGAAACACTGATTCAGACTGCATTTTTATAAGTTTAATGAGGCAATTATTACGTGAGAAATGATGTCTGTTGTATCGTCCATCTTCGCGTTCAGATCAAAAGTACATCCTGTAGCCCCGATGCTGGCTTCTGATATGTGGGACAAATTATCAAGCACGAAGCTCATAACTTATTTTTGTCTCAGCCGTGAAATCTAGACTATAATTGCTGACTGTTTTGTTGATATTCGTTATCTTCATTTTACAATTGATTTCAATACTGATAACTTTAAACTTTATTTTATATTTAAAATTTAATTTTATAATGTTTTCAGTTACGTCAACACAACATTCAGCTATTGAAAGCCTCGACATTTAAAATATTAGTATATCAAACTTGAAATGACCACTAACCAAAATTCTTCCTGTCGTCGTCTGTCCACTGATCAACTCTCCAGCCCAATCTTTTGCCTCCGTCACCCACCCAACTTCAGAATTTACTGCTTCGCCTTTTCGGTAGCCAGATTTCCCAGTTAAGGTTACAACAGCTTTTCTCTGACAACACATCCAACTTAATATCCTCCAACTTAGAACCAAAAATAAGCCTCCAAAAAAAGTGATAAAACTGGAGCAGAGAAATGCGTACCAGTGTCGGTCTGACAAGCATTCCAGATCGGCATTGCTGAACATTTGTTGAACTCCGTGGTGTGCGTGGTGGATGCTGTGCGCTTGATCTTGCTGGTAAGGATGCTCGCCGATGGACCGCAGAGACGGGTTGTGTATCGACATGTAAGGTTTGTAGTAGTAATAATAGTCTCCACGCAAGTTTGACGCCGGTGGTTGAACATTGTGCTCGGTCGTCTGGTCTGGCTGCTGCTGAGAGAGATGAAGTAGATGGAGGTTGGGTTCTAATTGCATTGGTGGTAGTAAAAACAATGCAGAGCAGCGGTTATTTGAATTTAACGGATTTGTTTTAATTGTTAAGTTCCGATATCTGTGAAAATCTAAATAAAAACATTAATTTAATGTAATATGTAATTGAAAAATCATCTGTGTGTATATGTATATATATATATATATATATATATATATATTATATATATATATATGCAATTATTGATGAAAATCACAGCATGTTCGGCGTTAGTTAACTTCGAGTTTAACTTTTCGATTTTTCTAACGGTTGATGGTAAATCATTCTCGAGTTACTTTCGAAAAATCGAAAAGTTTAACAGGAAGTTAATTAACGCTGGACATGCTGTGATTTTCATCAATAATTGCATTTCTAACAGTCATTATTGTTTTTAAATACATTGCTATCTTGTTGTAGTCTTTGTAGAATGGTGCTCTCAGTGGATGTTTTGTAACCATTGCTTACTAGTTGATTAAGAATTTTTTTCTGTTCCGTATTCCGATCCTCAGTTAAGGATGAATGTGTGAATGCCCGGTTCACGAAGGATTCTATTGTACTTACTTTGAATTGTTCCGTACATTCACTTAACCCATTTAAACAAATACTTTTGTTGGTTGCTATGACGCATACGGCAGTTCTTAATCTTTGTTCGTCATGCGTTACCGAAACATACAGAAATGGCGGTAAATTTCAACTGTTGTGCTCGATGGTGAAATTCAATTTTGATTGGTTCAGAGTTGCAAGTTACCTGACTTGTTCCGGATCATTGTATGCGACGAAGATATCGTCAACACATCTGGCATAAATGTTTGTTTTTAACAACTGCACTTCTAAAGACGATTCTACTTTGAAGCGTAATCATGTAATATATGAATTTATATGTCCTAATGAATTTAAATGCCCTAGTGACGACTGTGTGCGTCAACAACATTTGTATATTGGCGTTACAACTACTTCACTATCAAGACATCTAACAATACATTCACAAAGAGGAGCCATCAAATCTCACTTGCAATCAACACATGCAACTCCAATACCTCGCCAAATTCTTGACAACAACGCAAAAATAATTTATCAAAACACCAGCACAATACATCTAAAAATTTAAGAATAGGAATTTAAGATTTTAAAAATGTTTATCAATGTGTGAGTTGGAAATATCTCTCACAAACAAGTTTTTTTGAAAACGTTAAAAACAAAATGCTAACAATAACAACTGTTGCAGTTCCACGATGATCTTTAAAAATATTTTCTCCAAATTAGATTAAGTTACAAATAACAGCGCAAACATCTATAAATAGAAACTCATTGTGTACTAATGTACAGGCACGCACGTGATAGCATACAACTAAAAAATTATTTCTTTAAAATAAAAACTGTTCTACCATCGTAAGTAAGTTTGAAAATTTTTCTTTCATAAATATATTAAATTAAATTGTGTAATATTTAACGACGGTAACGAACATGTATGTACACACACACCACACACGCACACACACAAACAAGCACACACATAAATACACACACATACACTCACATGCACTGCATCATCAGAAAGATGCATTGTCGGTGAGTCTTCTCGTGCACAGGCAGTCCAGAACGGACTGGCCTACTCTCTTGCAGCACTGCTGTTTTGACCCGCCGAAACTGCCTGAGCTCATCGGATGATGGCTTCAATACCGGTGATATCCCATTTCACCAATAACACTTCAGTGTTGGCAACCTATCATTCCATCTGTTGCGTGAAATCATGCGGATGCATTTTATGTGAAATTAGTCAAGCCTCTGTATTTGGCGTCGATAGGGGGTATTTATGTTCCACATTAATACAACAAAATGGATAGCAAAACCGCTTTTTGCACCTTGGTACTTAAGATGACATCGTGCTCGCTCCACAGACGTCTGTTCAGCTTGCTAAATGATCACACAAACACACACACTCACTCACACAAAACACACACACACTCTTATTTCTCATTATGGCCTTACTAAGAAACCTCGCATTTCTTTGTCCATGTCCTTTATATTTCCATCGCTAATTGGAAACTTTTAAGTCTAAATTTTTGGCATGCTGTTCCACAAAGTTTTTGCTGATTTTCAAATTATGGTAATAATTTGAAGATCAAAATTTAATCAAGTTCATTGCAATTTTTAAAAAATTACACTGGTTACCTGATAGACGTCCTTATTCTGAAAAATAACTTTAGATCGTCTCAGATAGATTAAAACTTTCACCCAAAAACATTTGAATATATGTGTGTTACGACATATCCGAAACCCTCAGTCAACATAGTGATGATCGTGGCGTATAGGCCGGGTTCGGCTTCAAATACAAAAGCGTTCTTTGACGAGATACAACTATTTCTCGAGCTCCTCACTGTTTTAAATGGTCATATCATTATGGGTAATTTGAGCATTCATCTCGAGGATCTCTCAAACTTGCATACATAATCATTTTTGTCACTGCTGTCATTGTTCGGTTTTCAACAACACACGTGAAAGGAGTCCATTTGGGCGTCATTGTCACTAGATTGGGGTACGAGATCATCAATGTCCAGGCCGACCCACCTGCCATATCAGATCATGCTCTTATTTCATGTACGATGGCTGTTGAAGTATCGTCGCCCTCTCATCAATTCTTCAAGAACGTCCGGAACTACAAAAAATGGATCGTAGCGTATTCAGGGAGTCGATTCTCAAAAGTGACATTTGCTGTCAAGATGCATATTCTGGATGCGATGTAAATGAACTTTTCGATGTGTACGAATCAACGCACAGACGGCTCATAGATCAACACGCCCCTGAAAACGTAAACGATGATGAATGCTATAAAATAAAGCGTCCCACACGCAAGTTTGAAAGAATTTATCTTTCAACAAAAAATGCAGCTGATCTCAATTGCTGGAAGGTAGAGAGTATTAAAAAACACAAATTGTTTGTTGAAAAAACAGAACATATTATCAATGAATAAGAATCAAAAAATTTCAACGCTGTACCCGATTTTCTATAACTTATAGACAACTTCCGCATTAGTATGTTATGATCCACGCAATCAAATGCTGCACTCATGTCAAGCAATACTACAAATGACACCTGTTTCGAATCAGGTGCACAAAGCAGAGTTGATAATACCCTGAGCAGAGCTGTTTCAGTTGAATGAAATTGTCTGTATCCAGACGGCAAATGATTCAAAAGATTGTTGTCGTTGAAATATTTTAATATTTGTTTTGATACTATTCTTTCAACAACCTTTGTAACGAATGCTAAATTTGAAATAGGCCGAAAATTCCGAGGGTTATTTGCTTCAGGTAATGGCTGCTTTGGTGACGGTATAACAATTGCTTGTTTATAAATTGATGGGTGACTTCCAGTTTTCAAACACATGTTAATCAAATCAGATATAAAGAGCAAGAAGAGATCGATATGCTTTTTTGCTTTTTAAAAATACTCGCAGGCATAGGATCAAGCCTACACGTTGTTGACGACGATTTTAAAACAATTGATTTAACATTATCTCTTGAACACCGTAAAAAATCTTTGATCTTTATTCACTTTACTACTAAAAGAAGATGAGCCCTGTCCGATAATCGTTTTTTTTAATATTATTAATCTTGTTTATGAAAAAATCTGCAAATATATTAGCAGTATTATCACTGTTTGCATCGTTACTCTTATTAGATTTTTTGTTACATAAAATTTTAATTAAGACTCGCCAAAGTTGTTTTGGATTAGTAGCATTAACATTTACTAAATTTTTCCAGTACATTTCTCTTCTTTTTGCAAAGTATTCATTTTTTACAATAATTAAATCTCTCCACATCTTCTTATTTTCTGAACATTTATCATTTCTGTATCATCGTTCCAACTTTCTACAAGCACGTTTCATTTCTCTACAACCTGCATCAAACCATAGTGCCGTCTGAACAACACTTGGATCTACTGTATAGACGGGAGCAACAATATTAACAATCTTTAGTAATTTTTTGTTAAATATTTCTGCTGCTCTATCAACATTATTAACATTACAAGCACCCTCATTGGCGATTATTTAATAAATTCAATCAATTTATTTTCATCAATACGATTCCAGGCCCGTACAACTTTTCTAGTCTTTACTACAGAAGGGCGACTAATCGGCAAACAAAATGACAAAAAAGAGTGATCAGAATAAACCCCAGGTGAATATATTTTAGCATCCGTCATGAGCAAGCTAACCACAGGCACGACCAAGTCTAAAATTCCACCCAAATCATGCGTTGGTTCTTTAATTATATTTCGCAAATCAAATAACTTGGACAATGATTTGGCGTGTACAATTGTACATCATAATTTTTTTCAACATGTTTAAATCACCTAGTAGTAATTTGTGATAACCTGATATTACTATATATATATATATATATATACATACATATATATATATATATATATATATGTATATATATATATGGACATATGTATATATACATGTATATGTGTGTGTGTGAAGGAGATCATGTTTTATTATACAGTATTGTATGAATTCTACCGAAATGTTGGCATTAATCAATTTAAAGTTTGTATTTTCAATTTTCTTTACTATATATATATATATATATAGTAAAGATATAGAAATAGATATATATATATATCTTTTAAAGGACGCTCATAAATACACTCATAACACGGCACTCAGAGATATCGCTGTGTCAGGACCGATCATGTGGAAAAGTTTGTCATGATTATAGCGAATGTCGGAACTAGGATTTAGAGACTTCAAAAAGGACTTAAAACTCGTTTACTTTTGCAGTAGGCACTTGATTTTTGTGTCGATTCTGCAATAGAGGCACTTGCATATTATGTTCTTATCGATAATTGTTCATTTATCTATTTTTCTTATTAAATTACTTTAAAGAATTAATTTATATTTTATTTAGGCGCTTTGTAACCAAGCTCGGAAAAAGCTCAGTAAATGCCAGATAAGTAGCTTGAAGCAGAAAATGGAAAACGGGGTAAAAGAAGACATGCACTAAAATTGTAGACAAGCAAGTTAAAGTTAGAACATATAGCTTAAAATCACAAAAGCTGATGACACGGATCTTGAATATGATTTTTAAAAATATCATATCACTTTCTAAATTTGGAATGTAATAGTTTATTTTTATTAAAAACATTTTGCCACATTCTAAACAAACTTATTTGCAATATATTTCCGAATAAAAATTGTAGATCAATATTTAATCTAGGTTTGTATCACTGGAAGTTTAATTATTATTTAAAAAATCAAAGTTTAAATGTTTTAAACGCAATGGTTTAGTTTAGATTGAGAATATGAATGACTACGGGTGTGGTTCGCAAGGCGTATCAGAAAAATGGAGGTAGGTCTGGCCTATGCGCTTTATTTGCCTTCTAATTTATATATCAATATTTATATATATATATATATATATATATATATTTATTGTATATATACAATTATTTAAAATTGTCATATATATTTACAATTATTTATATATATATATATTTATATTTTTTAATAATATATATATATATATATATATATATATATATATATATTATACTAGTATCAACACAAAAATAAACACACATACACACACACAAACACACACACACACAGTAATATTCCCTTGTTCGTCAGTATAAAAAAATTATATATCTCAACTCTTACCACACATTAATAGAAATTGGAGATATAATTGAATGTTTCATCAATGATTTATATGCCAGTGCAAAACAAATGTTTGTTTTTTTTACATCAGAAAACAAAAGCTTTTTCTAAACGGCTCTTGCGTTGTTTCTTCATTAACATATTTTGCATTGATGGGCTTTTAAAACACAAAACCATAAAAGAGATTCATGTAATTTCAATAAAACCTCACCTCGATGAAGCTCAATTTGTTTCTCCACAAAAATTTTCGCTTAAAAGACCAGATATGAAAAATAAAACTTACGGAGTTAAATGTTAAACATAACATAAATTTATGCTTAGGAATGTCATTAAAATTTTTTATTGACCATTATCAACGGCAAATTTGTTATCTATACTATAACATACATCGTTTGTTGACGAAGAAACAGAATGAATAGAAATATAACAGAATTTGTCAGATGGATAGTTTTTAAAAACACAGGAATGCGGTATATTTTTTGTTTTCAGCTTTTCTAGTGAGGTTGGCACGCTGCTCGCATATTATATAGTATATACATTCAAGACGTACGTTTGCATATAATGTATATCTAAATACACTTATATATATATATATATATATATATAATATTTTTGATATAATATCTAAATTAAATGCGAATTTTTGCGGATTAATGAAAAACGTAGCTTTATTTTTGTATGTTATTAATTATACATATGTGTGTGTGATGGTGTGTGTGTGTGTGTGTCTGTCTAGGGAAAGCTTTTCCGGTGGGCAGGTATCTGGAAAAGGAAGACTTTTTTGTTGGCTTGTTGTTCTCTTGCTAGGACTTAGATGAATTCTTGACGATTTTGTTGCCCATCAAAAATCTGTGAGCAAACAAAATTTTGACCTACATCGTGTTTTGTGCAGTCATTTGGGAAAGTCACTGGATTATGCGCTTTTTTAATTTTTATTCAACTTCTCTGTCACTACTATTAATATTACTTAATTGCTATATTAATATTAATTAATTACTTATCATTTATTCAATTTTTTAATTTATTCGAGACTGATTTTTTAATATTATTTAATTCAAGTATGAATTTGAAAAATTTACAAAATCTTTTGGAAACAATTTATTAAAAAATATTTTAGAAACAGATAATACTTTGTTTGATAACAACTTTATGTCATTCGTTTATGTACCACAAGATAAATATTTTCGGAAAAAAGAATTTTTTTTCTCTCTTTCCTTTATTTTTGAACAATGAGAGCAAACAAATTGTTGCATTTTCTGTTGATGACTTTGTGGTTTTTTAATGGTTATTATTATCATAGTAACACCCCTGTGTGTGTCTTTTTTAAGTCAATATTTTTAATTTATCATTAAATAAGAATTATGATTTTTTTCAATTTTAAATATATCTTCTAATATAAACTTTTATGCTTGCAATCGACACAAATGACGCCAAGCAATTCGCGGATCTCGCTGATCGCATGAAATGGCCTGACGGGCCGTACTTTGTCCACCCCTGATTCTAAAATCAGCTACATTCAATTCCAAATTGTTGGATTATGTTAGTTATGCAAGTTTTTTTGAAATAATAAAATAGTTTTAGAAAATATTTTGGCGCCCCTTACACTCAGGTACCGGGGGTCCGTTCTTCCTTCGGTACATCACTGAGCGGATTCTACGATTTTTTTTGCCACAACTGTTGAATATTGAGTTAATTATGGGACCGTTCGAATATTACGTGGCATTATATATATTTTGCTCATCCATTCGTGACATAGGAAACAGTTTTTTTTCACAAATTTAAATTCTAATTTAACCATTTTATGAAATAATTCAATTTAAAGAACACTCTTTTTCAATTTTTTCGAATTAGTTTTTTTTCCTCAAACCCCACCACTCCCTGTGACAGGCACTCCATAACAAAATTCTTCACCCTTGCCTCCTTTTGCTTTTTTAATTACAACTATGTGCATTTATTACGAATGTATTTGTAAATGTTATGGACTGGCCGAAAATTGTTTTTTTTAAAAATCATTTCGGGTTTATCGCACCGAATGAAACATCTAAAATTAGGATCTTTTGACTTAACGAAAGGCGT